ATGCCCATATACAGAAATTCAACTTATCATATAGTTTGCTGATAACTTTAGTGTATGGAAATCTATTAAACGCTTATGTTAGACGAAGAGAGATAAGGACAAAAATGCCTCGATTGTTAAGATTATTTCTAATCAGGTCGCTGAGGAAAATCAAAAGTTTAGAAGTGCTACGGCCTGAGAAACGAAATGCGCGTCATGGAGGATATTACCGTAATCCGAGTTAATATTTGGCATCATAATGTATTCAGTTTTTTTAGAAAGACGGAATGGAATGCTAAGCCGGCGAATATTGTTATAAGTGTAAGATGAACCCTATTCCCCCCTAAGACCCTATTCGAACAATTTGGAAATATTGCAAAGAATCCTAGAATCCTTAGTTCTTTCAAAGGAGTATATGTCACCTCTAGCAAGTACATGGCGACAACAAACGTATGTATTACTATGAAGACTTAGTTCAATAAAGAGAGACTCACGGGCTACTTCTTTCATAGTTCGAAATACAATATTGCAGCAATGTACAGACAAACCCGGTACTGGTATGCCATGAGTAGCAATATATTCTTTTAGCCAAGTTTCAATTATAGTGAAAATATTAAATATATAAGACAATGAACACTTCCAAGTTCATTAACAACTGTAAGAAGGGCTAATATTATGACAGTTCAAGGTTAACTTGATGCAAAGATTAACATCCGTTTCGAACAGGCTCACATTAATGTAGGCAGCAGTTTTATTAACATAAGACGAAAATTTATGTGGTTTACAGCAGTCTCGTTGAAACCCAAGCGAAGTTCACTCTCAAGTTGAACTAGTCAGGCTAATTTGATCAACAATGTGTTGAATTTGATGCGGTGGAATGGCTTTTTGTGGAGCATGCATGCACTCTGAATAATCAATGAAGAGACTAGTGTTAGCGAGTAGCAGCCCCGGCCCAAAGTTACAGACACTTTACCATGCTGGGTGCAAGAAATTAATGTTTGAGCCTTATATACATACTTTCTTGCATACACAACAGAACATGGTCGGTAAGCGTGAACCCATAACTAAACACAAAGAAGCAACACACAAGTAATTAAACAACTGCAGCAAAGTGTAGGTATAAGTGATGATGCACAAAATTACCCCAAAAAAAGCTTATACTCGAGAGCTCACTACGGTAAACAGTTTTTATTAATCTTATAAAAAGGAAGAAAGAATCAGTTTTTTTTAAAAAAATTTTATATAGTTGAAGGAAATCCTTGCCTCGCACACGATAGAACTTTAAGAAACTGCTGAAACTTTTGATTTCAGTTAAGTTTTAAATGTATTTAAAAAAATAAAAAATTAAAATTTAAAACATTATAGTTATAGTTAGACAAGGCAATGATTAGATATCCTATCCTAATTTGTCTAGGAAAATTTTTCTCTTACTTTTGTCAAAAGAATGTCACTGGTTCTCTGTTAATAAATGCTTGCATATATTTTGATCAGCAACGTCTTTGATGAAAATGATTAAGTAATACGAAGTATCAATGTACATAACGGTTAAATTCGACGATTTTGACCTTTCTCTGCATAAAGCAACAGCTTCCCATTTAATATGACTTAATTGACTTAAATACTGACAATATATGAAAGTTTCAAGGGAGGGAAAATGGCTTCCACACGAATAAACTGAACCGTTTTAATATCGCAGTTTAGTTGCTTGACAGGCGAAAAAAGGAGAGTTTTCTGTGACGTATTGCGTTTGGCGATTACAAGTGGATCTATTACGACAATCCTAAGCGCCAATAGCCAATGGGTTAACCTAGGAAAAGCATCCACATCGATACCGAAGTGAAATATTCATAGCCATAATGTTTTCCTGTGCATGTGGTGGGATTAGGACATGCTTTTATCCGAGCTCGATTTGTGGTGCTCACAGAAACTTGAAAATTGTGCCTCAACGAAAAAATGGAACTAATCGATCAACTTAACACAACAAGTCAAATCGTCGTCGCCATTCGCTAATTGACGAAAGTTCTTCCAAGCAACTTCTTATGCTAGGAAACATTGACGCTATGCAAAAACTGATCAAATAAGATCGACGCACTGTGAAACTGAGACAATTTTAGGCATTGCTTCCACCAGCAGCTATAATATATGAAATTGTCATTCGATCGTGAAAATTACATGAGATTTTGATTGGATCGTTTCGTTCAACTAACCCCTAAAAAAATGCAATAGTAGTATATATAAGATCGTATCAAGTGACGCATCATGAACCCGTGTCCATAAGCAAGAAAGTAAACAGCAGTCGACTCTACGGATGTTTCAAGATGAACCAATTCCAAAAAAGATCTTTCGCGATCGAAGCTGACAGATCATGTAGCAGAGATACCTTTAAAGAAAAGCGAAACCATCAATTCTGAATGATGAACTACCTTCGTTTGGCAAAAATTTGTGATAAAATAAAGTAAACAAACCAAAATAGCGTCGGATCATTCTTCATTGTGGCAATTCGACCTATTAAACATCTCCTCTATCAAGCGACTAATCGAAGGCTTAAAAACTGCGGTAAATCGGTAAATCGTTCGCTTTAAACTCCTTATGTGCCCCAACGCCGAGGATAAATCGCTTAAATAACGGTTTTTATCACCGGAAAAAGTAGTTTATACCTTTAAAAACATATATTTTTGGTAGAACAAATGATTCAAACATATGCAATACGTAAACAATCAAACAATTTTTAATAACAATTTGCTGGTTTTTCGTTGTTGTGCCCGATATATAACGAGTGAGCTACGTAAATGTGTTTTATCACATTTTGCTGTGAAGTTTTAAATCAGCCCAAGGCGTAACAACGCATTGTGACCTTGCTTTTGCGTTTTTTTTTTTCTTTTTTTATGCTGACTTAATCTCCCACAAACATCCAAAAATGATTTTGTAAGAACACTGGCAAAATTTTAAATGATTCCTAAAGTCAATTATCCGAGCATGAATAACTCAGGTACAAAAACTTTAGCTTTCATTTGATAGCCTTAAAACTTTAGTTGGATGCTGTAGCGCACGTATCGCAAGCCATTTTCTCAATAAAATCAAATTTTCCGATTTTCGAATAATTAAAGCAAATAAATACAAATAAAAAAAAATAAAAAAAAAATGTTGCATAAATGCTACGATTCTTTCTAGATTTTTACTCACATTTTCAAAACATTTTTACTCGATTATTTTAGGACCAAATTTGTAACCTGCGGCGGTATACCAAGTAGAAATTCAAAAAAAAAAAAAAAAACGAGGGTTTTTTTTAAAAAGTTTTCAACCCTTTATTTTTTTTTTTAAAAATTCATAAGAATACTTTTCCACATTCTATATTATATAAGTTCTCTACTTTCGTACGCTACAAACTGCATATGAACAAAGGTATGCATGTTAATTACATTTTCATTGTTTTTATATAAATTTAAAAAAATATATAAGCGAACGAAAAGACATACTCACCCCACTGTGTAAAGTTTTTAGTTTCTGGACATTGCAAAAATGTAAACAAAAGAAAACCTGCATGCCATTGCTTTTCAATGGGTATGTGAAAGATAAGATAAAAAATACAACATATTCACCTTGCTTTGACAATATTGTACGGTCCGATATCATTGTCTAAAATCAAATTTCGTAAATTAATGAAAATTTTACTCAACATGTCATGAGATACAACGGAACGTATACGCACTGTTACACTTTGTAGATAATCATCAAACATATACGTACCGTTGTACTCAGAGAAAAGAAATGAGAAAAAAAATGTTCGATAATAATTATTTGAAAATATTGGCTTACCTTAGGAGACACGTTTTATTTATTTGTGTAATAATTGACATAAAGAAATTCAGGAAAAAAGAAAAACTGCAATTTATGTCTGAATTAAAATTAATGTCATTTATTATTTAATTACAACTATGAATATTACAATTACATGCATTCATAAATATTACGTACATATATCTCTACGCATATACGCAATTATATCCCCGTTATACTTATATAAGTACATAACACTGTTATATTTACATACTCACAATATTTAAAAAAAATCAAAAAAATAAATAAATAAAAAATATATGTGTTACGTGTAAATATAATTAAATATTCCGCAAGCTCAATGCATTTCCCACATACGCACACATATGCAAACACGCGGATAATTTGCTATACAATCAGTATAAATTAAGTTTTATTATTTACAAAATACATTTGATTGTGTGAAACGTTACCCTACACAAGAGACATCAGCAACATGTCATATATACATACCTAGTATGTATATATATATATATATATATATATATACTAGGTGCATATATATCTAGTCTATGCTTAAAGTAGTACAAGAAAAATACTGTACGCGTTTATTGAAAATTCGCAAAAAAACTTTCAAGACTTCCATCATTCATTGTATAAGAAATCAAAGTTGTGAGGAAAAAAAGACGCACAAAGAATAATTGTAGTTTTTTTTTTATATTCCAGCACCCATTTTATAATTCTTAGACTGTATAGAGAGAATGTAGCTGATCGGCCGTTTGGTCTTTTTTATACTTTTTTTTTTTTTTTTTTTTTTTTTTTTTTTTTTATATATCAAACGCATTATTAAGTGTACACACGTTAGCTTGCCACATAAATAGACAATCTAATCGATTTATAGCATATAATTACAAACTACACAGGCATATACACGCAAAAACACATATGCGGGTATATGCGTACATACATACATATTTAAAACTAATAACACTAAATACATTTAAATATGATTTTAAACGTTGCAATTACCATAAAAAGTTTCTCTCGATATTCGCATGAAATTGATATTTTAATATAATATTTGAAATAGTTTTTCAATCATAACAATTTGCAAACGTATCAATAAGAATCAAATTGTAACAGTCAAAAGTTAGCGTCGTTATACAACCGTATTATTTACATTTATTTGATTTTTAATTTTTATTTTTTTTTTTTTTTTTTTTTTTTTTTTTTTGGAAAGTAAACTCCCTACATATACGATCGCTGTGTACAAGGGTAATTAATGGCATATGGATCGGCATGTGTTGTATTTCCCATCGGCGAGAAGGCCTAATTAAGTATTTGCAATTAGGTAAGTTCATTAGTAATTATTTATGAGAAAGCAGCGAAAAGGAAAAAACAAAAAGTCCTCTTTTTTATGTTTATCATACATTCAGTCCAGATTATGCTGAAAGGGACAGAATTCGAATATCAGAATCCCGATGTCATTTGCCTGCTTTTGCCATCCACCCAATGGCAGCCTAATGGCGAATTATTATTAGATATTAGCAAGGGAGACGTACGTTGTAAGTCACGTGCCGGATAATAGACAACCGGTCCTGGCGATGGTGCTCGAGTGCGTTTAATTTTTATTATTCCCGGTGAAGTCTGCGTGTCCGAAAGTCGTGTATTCAATGTATTATTTCCCGATCCGGTTACCAAGTATGTGGTCGTGGTGCTACGTTGAGTGCCATGACGAGAGAAACGCCCCGACGACCGATGTGTTATGGTACCATCACCATTGTTCGATATGGAACTCTCGTAATGTATGAGATCGGGCTGGTCGTGGCTGAGGCGTCTCTTGAAAAAAATCAACAAAAAAATGCGCTTGAATTTCTCGCCAAATATAACATAAATAAGAAAATTGCAACTGCTATTAATCGTTACTAACAGATTGGAAATTTTGGTAAGGGATGGATCAATAAAATTGTAAAATGCTTCAGATATATTTAAAACCAAGGCTAAGAAATTGAAAAGGAAAAACACGACCACAACACATAATAACATTGTTGCCAAACCGATTTCGCGCTTTTCTGAACGTGACAGACGTTGACGTTCGCGATTGGCTCTCTTCACCTGACGATAGATAAGACAATTGAGTATCGCTAAGGTCAAAAAGGGAATGATATAGTTGACAATCAAATAACACCAATGTATATAGATGTTAATGTAAGTTAAATTACGTCGAAGGGGCGAGGGACGAACGCAATGCAATACCACTGGACTGCCAGGCGGTTGATAAGTAACCGTAAGCACTTCCCAAAATCGGGGGAGATTATAGAGCAACGCAAATATTACACAAACAACAAAATAGATTTTTGCTCGACCATACGTACACAACGCTCGGGCCTTTAAAGGATGACAAACGGCCACATAGCGTTCCAATGTTACGGTAAATGTCATATAAATACTCGCCGTCTGCGCAATAACAGCTATTGGAAATACGGCAGGCGATATAAACGGATACACGTAATTATAATACAAAAAAAAGTAGCCTGAGTGCGGATATACGGACGGTATGCCAAACAATAGCATTGAGGTAACGATTAAAATGGTATCACAGCAGGCTAAGCCTATAAGCAAATAATTAATGCTAGAACGCATTTGTGGTCGTGACAATATAATCATCGATATAATATTACCAATAATACCCAAAATCCCGACAAGGTTCAGTGCTATGCCGCAGACCCAAAACTCCAAGAGATTACTACTCGATTGAGGGTCGTAAACGTTTTCGCATGTCTTTGTCCAGTTTTCAATGCCGTCATACGAATGCTGCGTGCTAGATAATGAATCATTGTCGCCATCGTAAACGGTGTAGAGAGTAAAATTGAAAAATCTTTCCGAAGTAAGTAACGCCGGATGCCTTGTCGAGTCCGTTACTGTTTGCTGAACGATATCATTGCCACGGGCACTCGCTAGAAATTCACGAACGTCGATCGGGGCTAAATCGAATTCGCCCGCATTATCAGTATCGTCGGTTGTTAACACCCGCGTTGCCGGCAACTGAGGCCCTAAAAACGAATAAACGCTATCATTACCATTTATGTCAATCATCGGTTTTTACTTATTTAATTTTTCCTTCTATAGGCCAGAAGTGCGTATATCTGTTGAGGATTTATATCGGCGTTTTCTTATAAAATGAACTTAATTTTTCAGCGGGATGTTAAGTAAATTTAATTGTGTAAACGTAATATTTTTAATATATCAGATTAATGCCTTTCCTTATTATCGCTACTTGACCTTATTGATAGAATTAATTGAATAATATAGTACTTGTTAAAACATTTAATGATTGTAGATAAATTTCTTGAGAGTTGAACTGAGTTCCTTTGAAAGATGACTTTTTGTTTTTTTTTGTATTTTGAGTTTTTTACTTTTACTAAAATGAAGTTAATATTAATAACTATATCACAATAAGATTTCGTTCTCTTATGTTCTTGCTTTGCTGCGATTTTACTTGTATCGATTATTATCTTATCTTATATTATTTAATATAAATTCTCTCTCTTTCTCTCTCTCTCTCTCTCTCTCTCTCTCTTTATTTCCTTAGCTTAATAATAATAAAAGTGATTCCTTTCGTAGTTGCTTTCGTAATTACTTCCGAATAAGAGCATTATGAAGTGTATGCCATAGTCAGAGTGATGTCATAGCGAATCGTAGATCTCGTGGATATCTCGTATCTATATATGCCTTTGCTGGGCCGTTATTGTTAATAAAAATTGTTTTGTTCACCTTCTGGACATATAAACGATGACGTCTGTGCCAGCATCGAAACGAACTTTCAAACAAAAAGCGATTTGATTGGATTGTTGTCGTTAAGTTTCAATTTGTATATATTTTATGCAGCAGATTATGTGTCAGCAATTGGGACGCCGGCTTGAATGAAAGGAGAGTAAACTTTTTCTCAATTCATGCGTAATTGCTTTGTACCGTGCTGGGAATATTTATTATTGTACTTTGTATTCTATTTTTGAATATAATTTTTTAATATTTTCTTTTCTTTTCTTGTTCTTTTTTTTTTTTTTTTTATTTTTTCCTTGTGCATAGATATTTTGCATAGCATATATATATATAGTTGTTTGCTCAACGGGACGGAAAAAAAAAATGTCTACCCAATTTGAGTTGTGAACAAACTTGACATTAACTTCTACACAAAAACACGTATAACTGCAGAAAAGTGGAACACATACAAAGCGTAGAGGAGACACAATCTAATTTCTAGGCAACATATTAAAAGAGTAACAATTAAATTTGCTTGTCTTTGGTTTCTTGCAGGGTTTTTTGAAATTGCATTTTTTAAGGCACACTGGCATTGATTCACGCAAACATTGCAAGCAGCCCTGCTGCTTATCATCAGTTCAAATCTAGCAGACAATCTACCAGTTGCTTGTAGTGAGTTGCAGATGCATTTGTGTGTCACAATTTACAAAATTTGGTTCACAACAGTCGTCGTATCGTTGCCTCAGCATTTGTCTTGCAGTTATTCTAATTCTGAACGCCCGCATTGCTTTACAATAAAAGCAATTGCGTTTTGTTGTCTGACATTTAATGCTGAATTGGAGACAATTTTGTTTCGTAATTTTTGAATTTTCTTCCTTTCCTTTTGTCCTTTATTCTTAAATTACGAGTTCTTTCCTTTCATTGTTTTTATGCGTCGCAAATATAATGATTTCATCTTCAAACATTGTCTAGGAAAATAAAAAAAAGAAAAATGAAAAAATATGCAAGAAAAACAATACAAAAAGAAAAACAATTTTAAGTTAATATATTTAAATGAAATTCGTTGATTTTACAAATATTAAGCAAGCGTAACGTAATGATATTTGAAAATTCAATAAAATAAAGATATAACAACCATTCGCGTAGTCAAGGGTAACTCAAAAGAGTTCCCCATACGCCCCCAACTGTTTTTGATGCAACATTTTAACGTATCATTTGTATTAGTCATACGCCATGATTACTCCCCCACATATATGCTTTTATATTAAGTTTTTTTTATTTTGCCTCCTGTTTAAGTTTTATCCCTTATTTCCTTATTTTCTTATATGAACAAGAGCGCAGAGTTTATTTAAAAAAATTTACGAGGAACTATTTACAGAATTAAAAGAACTTTTTGTTCGAAACACTGTAGAGAGTTCGGATTTCACAAGTTTGCACTTAAACGCCCGCGAAAGCGCACTTAACAACAAGGTTGCCCACGGTTACCTAGAAATACTGCATTTTCTTCCCAAGAGTTAGTTAATCTTCTAATCGTCTCAATTTCATAATACCTCTGGGTTCTGGAGGGGGCCAATCGATAAACCATCAATATGCTTTGCTTGATCTTGAACAATGTATACGCACAAACAATATATATATATATATATATGCGAAAATCATAAGAAATGTGCGTCCAAAACAGAGATGTGACTAGCATTTCATCAAGTAAGGCAATCTAGATCAAGCAGCAACTTCAAAAATGATAAACAGCTATGTGCAGCTTCTCTGTCAGTTAATGTTCCCTGCAACGGTCGGACAGGATGACGGGAAAGACTTAGTAATAATTATGTGCATTACATCACTCCACGACAATTGGCCGATTATAAATAATTTAACTAATGTCATGATATTCCTGCTTGTCGCTTAACGAAATAGTAAATAAGAAACCATGATCCCACCTCTTAGAGCGGCACAACATTTCCATTCGGTTAATATCCTTAAACTTTGTTTTAACTTCTTTAGCGCTTTAACTTGTGATCGTGATCATGGCAACGGTATCAACATTTGTTTCGTTACATTTATCCGTCAATTGTAATAACTGTGTTAGACGATTTACAGATTTACAGATTTGCATTCACTCTAATCACCACAATAACTATTATAAATAGTTTAAGGCATGACCGAAAAAATTCAAACTTTCTGATAACGAGATATAAAAGTGCGTAGAAAGAGACTTTCGATAAGATATCCGATCCGATATGAAAAAGAAACAACTGACTGAGCAAATTAAGCCAATAAATTAATCGGAATTTAATCAGAAAGGCGAACACAAACATTTTAAGCCCAGCAATACAAGCCAAATGATTTAATATGGAAAACCAATGAACGCGAATTATATCGCTCAGCCTTCTCTGCGATTTTGTTTTTTTTTTTTTCTTTATATATTATATTAAAGTTGGTAGTAATGTATGTAATCGTCTGTGCATACATTTAAAAAGTTTCCCACTCAAAAATAACAACGCATTTCAAATGACTTATAATAATATATTAAATGAAAAAATAAAATGCTTGACAAACATATTGCGAAGTAGAAGGTGTATCAAAATTATAGGGACGACATTAATGAAGGTTATGCGTGTCGCATGTGGGTCTATTACGATTTTGCCGTAAAATTGATGATATTTTCAGTAGCAACATTGAAAAGAGAACAGTTATAGATTGTCATAAGGATGTTGTCGCCATCTGACATATTAGCAGAGCACTCTAACGATGGTTATTATGGTCATTAGATCTCTCTTGAATACAGATGTTGGGCGTTTAGCCATCCTCTTGCTGGATTATCGCATAGTCTAGGGAGTAGGATGTCCGCATGTCAGGCGGAAGCTTTATTTCCTAGTACAGTAGACCGTAAACTTTTATTTACTTTACTACATTATGACCTTTTCAACTTCTTAAAATTTCCCAAGTCATCCTGCTATTGACAGTTCGTTAAAAAATATTTAAAAAGTGCCTAAAATAGAAAATTAAATTCAACAGTTTGCTGCTGTTTTTTTTTTTTTGAATGTATTTTAATTACACTATTCATTAACCGATAAAACGGCATTTTGTGATTCCAAGAACAAGTCTGCTTTTCCAAAAAATTTTAAAGAACAAACATAATGATAATGAAAAGACCAAACATGCCTCGATGTACAAAAGTTGAAAATTCATAGAAAAAAACTCTTCAAGTATTACCAGACAAAGGAAATAAAATTGACCGAAATTAAAATTTATTAAAATCAATACCTCAACTACAGATTCAATATATTGTTCGGATAAAACGACCTCACCGACCGTTGCATTGAAAATATGTACAAGTCGGAGCAACAAACGATAAATTTTTTTACGCGAGCATCAATCACCAAACGCAATGCGGCAAAAGCTATAGAAGAGTTCCACGAGAAAGAGGTAAAAAGAAGAAGAAGAAAAATATCGAACGATAACGAGTTTACTGCAATTTGTGTTTCGATCAGTTTAATAATATTTTGGAAGCAACTGTTTCCCCTTTTGCTTCACTCCTTACGCGGAAATCATCGTTCGAGTATTCCGCCTCAAAGCAATCTCCTTCTCTTGCTATTACAAATATTAATTGTAGGTTAGCGTGAGGCCTATGGTATGACACTTACACGTAAAACTTAACTTCAACAAATTAATCCATGTTTTTAGGCTTCAATAGACTTCAGACATGATCTTATTTCTGACATGTTTTATCATGAAATTGATTCAATTGATAACTTGATCAAATAATTAACTGCACCAATTTACCGCCATTCCAAAATCATTCCGAATCCATTTTCTTTTTCCTTTTTTGTTTTTGGACTCACTCCCACATACGAGCGCCTATGAAACGTACATCTCTACCTGGAAACGTAGCATAATTTTTGATATTTCGTTATAAAAACAAATGAAGAGTTGTTTAAAGCGAAATGGTGTAGGGTGTTTAATGGTCAGTTTTATTCGACTATAATGTCTTTGCTTATTCAAAAATGATATAAAAAAGTTGATTGTGGGATCACACCTCGTCAATATTCTGTTCTTTAGAAAGAGAGAGGAAAAGAGAGAGAGAGAGAGCGAGAGAGAAAGAGAGATGTTTTTTTTTTATAATAGGTTGGAGGGAAAGTTCTGTCGTATTTTAAATAGGCAGGTAATTTTTCTTGTAAATGAAAAAAAAATATCTGGCTAGTGAGTCATTCGGATTTGATTTTTTATTTTTTTTTTTGTTTTTTTAGCTGCCATCTAATATAAAAGGAGTCTTTTTTTTAAGGTTCATCATTTACTTGTGATATTTAAAGTGAAAAACATGTCAGTAGATGAAGTGCATTCACGACACTGCATTATGTATGCATTTCAAAAAGGAAGCAACGCATCGGTTGCATGTAAAATTGTATGTGCGGTATTGTAAGTGTTCGTACTTGTCAAAGATCGTTCCGGGGATCTGAGCGTCTAAGAAAGTGATCGATCTGGACGCCCATCCAAAATCGATAATGATATTTTGCGATCAAAGTCGAGAAATTGCAGAAGAGTTAGGCATTCATCGTACAACTGTTGAAGATCGCATTAAAACTCTTGGGCTTGTGTTAAAGCAAAGTGTTTGGATTCCACATGAAAAGGAATAGTGTTCCACCACGATAATGCTCGACCGCATATTGCAATGGTAACACAACAAAAACTGAATGCGTTTGGATGGGACGTCCTTAGTCATCCACCGTATTCACCTGACATTGCACCATCTGATTATTACACTGTTCAGATCTCTGCAAAATTATGTAATGGGAAAAAAATTCAAGTCTTTTGAAAGCGTTTCGGAGGCAGTTGCTGACAATTTTAACTCCAAGGACGAAAACTTCTAAAACACAGGAATTTACAGCTTACCTGAAAGATAGCAACGGGTTGTAACAAATAACGGAGCGCGTTGTAACAAATAATTGATTAATATTCAACACGAATTTTTATAAATGAGTTTAAATATTTTCTTTAAGATACGACCAACCCTCCCTTCAACCTGGTAATTCAATTTTCAGGCTAAGAAAATAGCTGTTGGTAAAAAGTTCGTGACGCTCGTGAACGGCACACGTTTATCGTTGGTTCCCTGTTTCTGTTTGCGTCTGTTGTGATATTTATTTATGAAAATGAATAGAAACCCATGCTGGTCACGGAAAGATGCTATTAATATACATTTAGAAACGAACAGCATTTATTCTCTCTATCTCTCTCTCTCTCTTTTATATCAGTTTTTTTTTCGTCTCATTGAAATTTGCTTTGAATATTA